TTCATTTCTATGCCTATATCCCCTCTATTTTATTCATTTTTGATCTGATCAACGCACGATAAGTCACTTTTGTCCACATTTTCTTTCAGTTTTCATCACTTTCGGTCAACTATTTGTCACTTTCACTTTAACTTTTATAGAATTGTGTACACCTACTCTCTGTAGTGATTACCCCCTCGCTTTTCGCCCCACCCGCGGCCCTCTTACTCTACATCTTACCACACACTAACTGGGGATTTGTTCTGTACATTTTACTGGTGCGAATTTGTGGGGGAAAATGGACACATTTCGGCGTTGATTTGAATACTTCTGTGCATTCATTTGCACGAAGTCATTCACTTTTGTGCACAAACTTGTCCGAAACGAATTGTAGATTGAAATTAGCACCAACGCTTGCACAAAAACCGACAAAAACGTACAAATACATACATTAAGCGTTCACTCGTGAGAAATATGGCTAATAAGATTCAAATAGATCGTAAATTATTCAGGCATAAACTAGTCCTTTAGCCTAAATAATCGCCCTTATTGTGGTTGGATCACCCCAAAAGTGCGTTCACCACGGTTCATCATATGCCGTTGAGATAATTGCCAAGTTCAGCCATTACAAGGTCTCATAGCGCCTCATAGGTAGGCAACATCTGGCCCGTGGTGCTTGCGTGTATTGAGCGGATGCCTACCCAGAGTCTCGCAGGCGGCAAGCTCTCGTAATTTGCCGAAGGCACAAATGAACCTGAGAAACGCCGCCAACAGTTAATTGAACGAGATAAAAGGGCAATTCACTTATTAGCATACAATTCATTTCTTCTTTTTTTGAAAAATCTCAAATGTTAGGGACATTATCAGACAAAAATGGAAGGAGGGGAAGGCAGGTTGTTATAAGGGCCCTTTCGTTTCCGCGCATACACCCTGGCTTTCTTCCTAGCGTCAGACGTCACACACACACACACACACACACACACAACACACAACAACAAATTTTCCTTTACGTCTTCCTTTTGTCCCTTACATAAACCTGACATTTTTTATTTATTTTTATATTTTTTCCTGCTTTCGTATAATATTGTGCCACGAGAGTTCCTCCTGGGCCCAATCAATAGCTGCCACATGCGCCTTACGCGGAGGGCGGATAGTTCTGACAGCAGCCGAAATCCCTTATGTGCTCGACGGCTGGAGCGGTGGTGGGGTGGCTGGGGCTGGCGTGGCCTGGCCGGCCTGGGCGCCAGCAGCAAGAGCAGCAGCCCAGCGGCCCACCTCTGGGCCCCCGGCGCCCGGCCCCAGTCGCACACATCTTGTCATGTTGTGACATCAAAGCAAAGAGGGCCCCGATATCACTGGGTCACGTCATCCATACGTATATGCTTTGAGCAGGGACGCGTAGCATTTCTACTCATGCTAAGGCACGCATTCCTTGCGGCACATTTTCCTCCAGAGTCTACATTGATAAATAAGGTGTTCAACTAGCGTGCTCATGCAAGTGCTCAACACTCAACACTGGGCCCACACTTAAGTGTCGACGGGATATTTGAATACTTCGAGGTATTGAACATTGAATTTGAACACTTCACATTGTGCCCAAAGCTTCACAGCCAACCCTGATGCTGAACACGTATAAGTGTTCAAATTTACTGTGAAACAATTCATAGTATTCAGATATCCATTCAAACACTTAAGAGTGTGCAACATAGTGTTGAGCACGTAATAGCAATTGCATGTGCACGTCAGTTGAACACTTTATTTATCGTAAGGGTTTCAAGGAGCAGCGGCACGAGAGCCCCATGTGAAAGTTCGTGTTTTCCTCGTTGGAGCGGTGGGCGGTGGGTTTCTCCCGCACCTTTGCTGTTATCATAACCCAGGCAACACAAACTAATGGGAATGCAACCTGGCGCCAGGCGCACGACGAGGCCCGCCACCAAAGATAACACGCGCCACCTGTTCAGAAATCACCGCTGTATAAACGTTTAATGAGTTTCGGATATGGGTGTGTCATGTCCGCGTTTCTTGTGCCGTTTTTTTTTCCCGCGGTCTTCAGAAGTGCCCATTAGTTGGTCACCATCGCTGCCGCCAACCACGCCTTCTGAGCGGCTCGGTGCATCAGAGTGTGTGATTTGAGTACAGGTGTCAGGTGTCGCAGGTCTGACTCCCAGAGCGCGACAAATGCACAATACCGACCGACACTTCGCTTCCTTAATTCTTCTGGGATGACGCTTTCTACTTGCTCTGT